GGTCGGTTGAGCGACTCGATCTAACCTGCAGCTAGTAGATGTCAGCATCCATGTGTTATCTTTGTTCATTTGTTTGTCACAAACGTTACCTTTCCGATGCTCAAATCATTTGATGCTACTTCAAGTTTTAAACGTTTCGTCTTCGCTGTGACGATGTTCGTCACGCTCGTCACTTTCGAAGCACCGTCCGCTCGTCGGAAGTTTTACTTCGACTACCCGTGTATGCCTACAGTTATCCTTGTTACATGTACTCAAACTACGACTATGTTCCGTATAGAAGTTATTATGTCTATTATCCCGGCCACATTCGTGAACGCCACAACATGTAGAAACACGTGGAACACCTTCACCGGGTGACATGTTCATGTCATGAGGGCCGAGGAAATAAGTCGCGTTTCGTTTGTTTGCAGCTATTCCTTTTAGGACAATTTCTTTGATATTGTACATGGAAGATGTTTAAGGAGATACCGACACGTTCAGATCATCACTGGAAGCAGTTGTGTCTTGCTGGCAGTTAGAAGAAGTTATTTAGACGTTTGAATAGTTTTCCGTTAGGACGAATTGCGTACAGATCGTTTATGGAACAACGCTTCTCAACAACGTAAGAGCGACAAGCAGTTCGAACTAGTCCGCGTATGGAGGTCACTGCACACCTGCAATTGATTATATTGTACAAAGGTTGCGCTAACTTTTAAGATAGTGGATCGACAGTTTTGAAAACGCTCTATCGGCATTTGAGTATGGCTGTGTATACTGCAATGTCCGAATGATCTCTCAAGCCGAACAAGGCTTACTGATATGAAAAGTCATAGAGTCCACCAAGTCATACAAATCGCATGAAACTCGCATCGTTTGAAAGCGATGTTGGCTGCCATCATTCATTTACAGATACTGAAATTACAAGAGATACAAGGGCACAATAAACACAGCTAAATCTGCAATTCAGTGTATTTTATGAAAACTTTGTGCCAAATCACGTTACACTGGATGCTGAACGTTAACGATAATAATAGTCAACAGTAACAATAGTTAGTAATGAGAGATAATCGTGATTGAACAGGTACTAAAGAGTCTGCAGCGTAAAATATATCCAATGCGCAAGCTTTCAATACCTTTTACGTGTACAACTTACAACGATTCCTTACCAAACAGAAGAACCCTTGCCAGAAAATCTACCTAACTTTCTAACGAGACGAAACCAACCAATAATCAGCAACTATGTCGATCGATAAAATACTGATTCTGGACAAACTTAAAGTTTGTCAAATTTATGTTATGCAGGTAACGATAGACATTGGCATGGTACGTACTTCTGGGCTAAGTCACCCTGTTCTCCACACTGGGAAAAGCTCAGAGACTGGTGTGCATTTTCCAACAGTATATTACATTACATATCCGTTGAGTCTTGAACTGTTCAAGACAGTCGTGGTAAATCGAAAATGCTCTCTACAAATAAAATCAACTTTAAACAGCTGTTTTTCGGCTTGTAACAATCATTATCACTATTAATTACTTCAATTATATGTAACGACTTAATCATTACTATTGAGGAAGGATATAAGTTGTACAGTTAACTGCGCCAACTGCCAGTTACTTACAAGTTAATATTAGGGTAATTAGAGGTGCTTAGCTTTAGAGCAAATGACATTACCGATTGATACGATTATTTCAACATTTATTATTAGTTCGTATCGACACATGAGCTATGACAGCCGTTTAATTCTATACGAAAGGAAAACTCATCCTATCAGGATGAGTTTTCCTTTCGTATAGAATTTACAATACCGGTCTATACCTAAAGGTTTAGCATCGTAGGTAATGGCACACAAACGGTAAACTGAGAATTTGAAATAATGCCTAGTAATATTTGTCACGATCGTTCTCGTTGGTTGGCCATTGTGGACCTGCGCGATGTGTTCTTCTACGTTCCGTTCGAGATCGCCGGGTCCGTTAAAAGATATATATGTCAAGTTACTAATGATGTAACTTCTGTTCGACGCTCATAGCTTTCACTATTCGAGCCCGAAGTTTGCTTATTCCAATGCACAAACCGGTTATGGCTCCATAATATTGCTGATCCTCAAATGTGGGATGCTATCGTACTTCAGAATCTGTGCAGATTATTGATCCTATCAGTTGGATAATATCTGTTCCAGATAGAATTAGAGGCGTATTGAATAAGGTATCAGCAGGCAGTATCGTGTTCCGAAGTGTAGGTCCAAGCCGTGCATCACTAAACCGAAACCCAGATGTGCTTCGTAAGATTCCAGAACATCCGGAAGCGTCCATTGGCTCGTAGAGTAATCAGTCCAACAAATAGAAGCAGCCTATTTGCAAGGGCCTGTGTAAGATGAAAACAAAAATGACGGTCTAACAAATACGCTACACTACCTAAAAGGTTCAGAAGGATAAAGGAATCATGCGGCGCTACAAAATACGAAACGTAAGAGTGTTTCATATTTGATCTACGACGATAGAAAGGGATCTTAGCAAGCTTTTTTTGTTTGTTTGTTTATTTTTTGTTTATGAAAGGCTCATCCCTTGTCCATCTTTCAAATTTGGTGATGATGAGTATTGCTCGTCACTACACTTCATCGGATAAGGTGGGTATTTTTCCAACGCTCAGAGAGCCTCATCATAGCTATAACCATAACGCAGGCATGAAACTACAGAGAAGCATGAAGGTGCAATTAAATGGAATGGCATAAACTCGAGTTTAATTTTTTTGACTAAAGACCTTTTACGGTAATGTCTATTTGATTAGAATAGTACCCATTTTAAAGTAAAAGTAGTATACGATAGGTAGGGCTAGGGTTTATGAGAGCTTATTCATTACCGTTTACTATGGGCAGAGCGGGTGGGAAGGAATTCTGACACTGAACGTTTCCGGAAATTCTACTCGGCAATATAATAGGATTCCATTAATCAACTGATAAACTTCTTTAGGTTTCTCCTTTAGAAGGATATCCATAACCCAGATGTGTATCGAAATCATAACTTTCGTGGGCAGTATATAATAACAGGTTGTGTTTGAATGCAGAGAAGATCAGTTGAATAAAAAGGTCGTTCAACACGGATGACATTACCGAAAAGCCTATGATGCAATTGCCTCGCATGGAAGAGGTTTCATTTAGTGGGAAGCCTTTTCCTCAGAATTAAACAAGACGCTTAAATTTTTTATCTACAAAATAACGATTTTATTGTTGACTACACATCATTCCAAGTGTGGTATAATCTTTTGTGTTAGTTATATTGACTACGTTGTAAATAGCGCCCGTTGATAGCTTGATCTTGTGTGGCAAAGTGACACTGGAATGGCATGCCTTATATAACGACACGTTATTTTTTGCCCCACTGAATTAATCTCAGCATGGCTTTTATATTTTTTAGAATATATCCATTATTTTTAGGAGTTTGTCCATGCCTTCTAGATGACATCGATGTCGGACACTCCCTCACAAACAGACGCAAGTAATCTGGTCATGTCTGATTCGCTAGCGAACCAGTAGCTGTAAGAGACTCAGAAAATGCAAGCGATAAAATTCGGGACATGATACTTGTTAGGTCAGAGTATAAACAAATCTGCTTATAGGCTAAATATATAGAACAAATGTTGTACAATTCTCTAACAATTATGCTTATTTAGCTTAAATGTTGAAGATATATGTTAAACCGATCTTAAAAACGATTGTAACCATAGTACTAAAAATAACGCCCAAGTATAATTACTAGCAATCCCGCTACTGTCAAAATCAGCAAATGTTCGTGCAGGAAATGGAACGAAAGCAAAAGTTGACGGCAGCAAAAAAGAAATTACAGATGCTTTGCTCCGTATGTCAGATTTTCATTAGATTTATTACACCAAGAAATTTATACATTAAGTATTTATTTTTTCTAAAAAAATTCCAGGCTATGGCCGTATCATATATTTGCCTTGCTCGAAGGAGTTCTTTTGTAAACGTATCGACACTATAGATTAGCCTCGGGGAAGACACTTCCACTTCAGGCTAACCCGAGGAAGACGTTCCTCCTGACTGTTTATAATAGTATAATAATTTTACTAACGAAAGACATCTATTCTGAACCAAGGCTAGGTATCCTGGTCTGTAAATTGTGTCTGGAGAACCTTTTTGCAACGATCTCTAACTTCTAAGTTCGTTACAGCTAATATATCCGACACCTTTAAATGCGAGTTAATCCGCAAAAATGACCATCTAATATTTTAAAAAGTTACTAGTCTGAAAAACACACATATACAGCCCCAGAGATTGTTCAAAACAAAGTAGCAATCGTTGACATTACTTCGTTTGGGGGGCTTGTAACAAATTTAAGGCACCTTAAAGACGGTTGGGTAAAACTTGTGTATTTTGTGCAAAATCTGTACAATTTCTTTGAATATGGACGTTTGCTGACAAAATCATTTTCCTTTCAGTTATTTCTCAAACAAATCCTACTACAGTTCTACAAGCGTTCACACGACGTTTAGAAATTCCCACTAAGACTGTCAGCTCATGCTAACATGTCTACGGTTCATAGTATTTTGATCTGTGAATCGCCGAGTTCCTGAGAGGATAACTTGCAGGATTCGAGTATATTCTGTGGCAATTTAATTGAATAAGAAAGCCTTAATCTTATGTGCGTCTAATCTCTTTCTTATACTAATAAGCCGTTCTTTATTTAATCACGCATATTACACAGTAGTTAGTCCGACTGTTGCCATTTTGGGACGTCACTCGTCAACAGTTATACTTTTTTGTTAGATGTGCTGTATCTTTGCACACGTTAGTTCTACCGCACAGAATATAGCATAGAACAACATTTCTACTGAGAAAGAGACGCAAATCGAATTTCTGTCGTTTAATCAAAATGACGCCTACGGATTTATAATTAACATGAAAACAGCTGAAATAGAACGAAAAAATCTCTCACCAAACTCGTAAGTGGTCGTCAATATTGGAAGTAGTTGTTTACAAAATACGCTAAAAATAATCTATCGCAACTTGACTCTGATTGTTTCTGAGTTTTATTTATTTATTCCATTCAGGTATCCTGAACGGCATATGATCATGCGCTAGCGGAGGACAGTTCAAACACTTTGACTTGGCAAGCTTATTTCTTCAGTAGATGAGCATATCCGCCATAATATCCATAAAATGCGTATGGGTAGAAGCCGTAACTTCCTTGGATAGCGTATGGATAGCCATATATATACGCGTACGGGTAACTGGCATAGACGTATTGCGCAGTGCACGATGTTACGAAGATGGCAAACGCAATACAGATCGCCACCGACTCCAGGATCAGCTATAAGAGAACGACACGATATTACTATATTTAAGCAGCGGCGAAGTTCTGTATTAGCATAGTTATATGTATGACTCCCACGTCTAGCTAGATCAACGATTACCAGTTATAGAAGAGATTGGTAGTATATGAAGGTGAGGAGATATCGTTGAAATCACAACTTCGAACCGTGTTTCAACTTGAAAATTGGCTTACTCACTGATGGCCTAGACATGGCTGACGAAGAAACTTGGCTTGTTCGCTGTATATCAAAGCTGTGTCTTTGATCGATTGAAGGCCTGCCACAGCTTTTAAACTTGAATCCGTCAGAATTCGCGCCAATCAATGCGTACGTTTTTCATCTTGCTCATGGAAGAGATTCTTCCTACACCCTTTCTTACTGGCGCGGTTTAGCGTGTGACGCGGGCTAGTTTGAAAAATTTAAAGAACGCCGACCCTTATTATTATCACTGACGCACATTAGCTAGAAAGCATTGTATGATACATGATTATTTCGTTATTGCAGTAAGGTAGAAAGTCGCAAAAAGGTTATGTGTACGGTAAAATACGTGTAGGTATGAGAAGGTCCTTTAATAGGATGAGCGTGTTAGCCCAAGACATGATTTTCGACAATGCTCAAAACTGGACAAAAAGCGCCCATTTCGATTTAACGGTTCATTATATAAGTTCGAGTTTGGGTTGCAACGAGGAGGTTCGCCAAAGAACATACATTTTGTGTGTATATGAACGTGTGTGAGAAAGGGAGCAAAGGTTTTTTAGGAAGAAAACACCGAGGCGATACGACTTCAGGAAGCTAGCGTTGCTTGCAGCTACCTGATGAACATATATGTGCCAACGTCGTTGCTGTACATGTGTGCATGCTATATATATGGCATCTGCTGTGTTTCCAAATCGCAATAATAGCTTAATGATAAGAGCCTCATAAGCAACAATAACGTATACCTTCACGAATCGCTTCTCGTTTTTGTAATAGCTACGATATAGCAAAAATATCAGTTCAGTACTGTGACCTCGAATACTGACCGTAATCGAAGTCTGGTTCTCGTTAAAAGCTTCGTCAGAGAACGTCTAGAAATGAAAATATTACTTTAGTTAGTACTTTTATAACACATTTCAATAGCGACCATATTCATATGTGTTATTATCTCAGTTGTTTTTGACGAGCATGCGTATTACCTTGCATATACATTTTATAAAGCATTTCAAACGATTGAAGATAAACGACAGAACATTATTATTTCTTTTTTGACTCCTTCAGCGGAGCATTTTACTTGCAGTCACTTCTATTTTGTAAGAAACTCAAGTTAAAATAAGTTCTAACTAACAGTGAACGTATTTCTTTTAACTGAGTGCTGTGAATAGTGAATATTGTCGCACCAACATACACAAAAAAAGGCGGAGATTTTAAGTTTGTTTCACCGGAAGCAGTCGGTGTTTTGATAATTACTTGAATATTTTTATTTCTAAAGCAAAAGCCAAACCCTTTCACTGAAAAAAAAAACAGGTACAGCTAGTTCAAATCTTACCATCATATCTATACTATTTAGTCAGCGTTTACTACTAGCTAGAAAGAAAATGGGGTTGGGTCGTCGCTCTGAAAAGAAAACTCTTCATTATCTAAAGAAAAGTTACACCACGTATGGGCTAGCGTGAATTTTTTAGTCTACTATAAACATATACAATTCGAAATCTCTTACTGACAAAGCTCAGCTTTCTGAATATTATCGCTGATCGTATTATAAATCATATTATTTGTTACTGTTGCTACCACGAAAAACTATAGACAAACCGCTCCTACGCTTACTCTGTCGTGCAGTGATTAAGAAATGTCTACGTGCACTTTCTGGTGCTTTTGCACCATACGCTATTACCTGCTTTACGTCCCGCCGTTTGGCATTCATCAGGTCCTCAGTAGTAAACAAGTTCTGTCTACGTTCGATTTCGTGTTTAAACTGTCTATAGTGGCCTAAGGTTTGCAGACGAACACGTTATCGTTGCGTTATCATCATCGTCATAACAGAGGCACCGGCGTAGCCTGCGTCCTTCTGTCACTGCTAAACTACTCATTCTGTCTTAATTTCGAATTGACTCAAGGATTACTATGCGATGTACCAAAGTTAGTCCTTTGGTCAGAGCGAAAGAAGCGTAACTTAAGTAGAATATGTGGCAGGATAACGGAAGAAAAGTGGCGATCTTCCGCGACAATACAAAGTCGCCCTGGTACTTGCCTATTACTATTTGTCATTCTGTCTATTTTGTTGGGATTACTGTTGAAGATACACCAAACCAGACCTATATTAATCCAGAAACATTATTTTACGCGTTATCATAAAACGAATTAGAACTTGTGAAGCATCCGATGCCTGGTACAAATCTCAAGTGAGCTATCTTATTTTTATATAATTTCTTCGACAGCGCTCATTTAGTATACGCGTTCCCTGCTGCGCATTTTATGCTAGAATTTTACAAATCATGTATCCGTCTGATGAGCAGAAAGTGCACAATTCGTTGTTGCGAAGTTGAAAGAACTTCTGATCAACGGCTTATTACTTCCCGTCTGTCTAGCACTTCATTTTGTTTATCAGCTGACCATTACCCTGACCAGTTGTTCGTTTGCAGACTCTATTGCCCGAAAGTATTGCAGAAATGATCGCCTTCACACGTACGATTACTGGAAATCGAACTAAAGTTAGGCGATTCTCTCTGCATTGTCACGATTTCCTATTTGCGTTCCCGAGATCAAATTCTTCTTCTTCTTCTTCTTCTTCTTCTTCTTTCGTTCTTCTTAGAGTTCTTAGCTGAGACGGCTGTTCGACGACGTCAAGTATTCTGGTAGTTGCTGATGATCCCTCAGCTTGGTCTCTCTGTCCTAGCGGCGGAAAACTGTAGCCCATTGAGTGCGGTCCGCCGTACGCCAGCTAAGCTTCGGTTACGAGGACCGTAACAAAACGACACGGCCAATTGTAAGACAGGTTCTGGCCGAAGATATCGAGTAGGACACAAAAACGAGCTGGAATACGCTTGCATACTGCCGCATTTCGAATTGGAACTATATTTGTCGAGCTTATTGGCATGGCCCGAACAGCGGCACAATTAAGCAATAATCTAGTGAAATTAGATCAAGCTCGGTTTCTAAACTTGGCCGTGTTACACGATACAATTACAAGGCTCAATAGTGATAGATAGATTTAGATCCGTAGATTAGAATAATCTGACAAGCTGTAAGACGTTCAAAATCCAGTTGGAACTATAGCCTTCGTGATCCACCGCTTACAGAACCCTTACATATTCGCTGTTTACCTTGTATATGTGTAACCGCTTCACAGGTTGATGAGTGCTATTAAATGTACTTTTGTTGTTGAAAGGCGCAATCCGTTTGGGTAGATCGATCACTCGGGGGGATTATATCGAATGATGAAAGGGGACTGATCCGCATCAGACGGTCATTTGGTTCTTCCTACGTGATTGGCGCGTCTATTTTCTGTCTAGTTCCCGTCGTACGACTGCGTCAACACAGGTAGCTCCACACACGGTGGTATGGTTCAGTGTCCTGCCTTATAGCCGTGAGAAAAAAACGCCAGACCGAAGGCCGTAAATGCGAACGTGGCGGCCTTATTGTACTATAAATTTAGGCATTCTTTGTCTAAGTCGAAGTAAGATTAATAGGAGGGTCAAGTAATATTCATAGATCCGACCTCAAAGTTAAATTTATATTGCGGCGAAACTTGTGACCAGTACCGATGGCAAAAATCTGCCAAATTCACTTGGTCCTCAAAAAATTACCTCAGAGGTCATCAAAACCATAGCTCTCAACTGACATAACATTTAGCGTATGTTCGCATCACATTGACAGTACGCTTTGTTCAATCCGTTTGTATGAACCACTTAGCGGACATATTAGCTGTCTCTTTGAACGCGAACGCCAGCCATTCCAGATACAGCATCTATATGATGGAAGCAGATTTCGAGTTTGTTATTGGACAGCCCCACTGATACGACGTACCGGTGGGCGCGGGTCCTAATCCATCTAGCTATTACAAAGCTTCCTTTATTTTCGCATTTTGTTAGCCCATTATTCCGCCATGTACTCTCCCATGTACAAATGCACTTTTGCCATTTTGTGTTCATTGTTCAACGTCACTATATTTACATCATGCATATCCATACTAGCTGGTGCGTCCATATAACATTTGCTAATGTTATATGGGCCTAGAAGTCTTGATAGCTATGGTATCCCAACGTTACGTCCGGGCAAGTACCAGTGTCCCTTACCCGGGGAAACTTGATAAATTACAGTGTCGCTAGGCCCTCTTAGCTAACAATCATATATGCGTCAATAGTAGAGTTTCTACAACTGCGGAGTGGAAACATCTGTTCTATCAGATACATTTTCCGTGGGAAACTTAAATACCCCGATGATATTTAGTCATTACCTTGTTGGATACTGAACACTATATGAAACCAATAATGGCCAGCTTCTCAGCGCGGCCGTCTTCGAAGGTGCGCCATATGTGGCTTTAAAAACGGTATCAGGACGAGGTAGCTGTGGCAAAGTGCCTTCCGAGGTGGTCACCCCCATTTTTTTACGACTGGTAGCGTTGTTGATGCCTATTTCGGCAGTTATGTTTATGATTCAGAGAGAGTTCTTCTAGGTAGGTCAAGGTTTCTCAGTATTACGATGTACCTCATGGCTGGATGTACTTCCATGTTTATAGATCGTCAGCTTTAGACTATGTAACGATTTGCGATAATATAAAAACAAAGTTCGGGTTTGCTACTATTGTATTTTGGCCTTTGAGGAGGATTCAATATTGACGTACTATACCCATACGGTTAACAATTTAATTTTTTTTTACGCGATTGAGATACGTATTGTATGACCAAATGTGCTGGTCCCCTCCCATTTAGTATAACCGCAGTCTAACCAGATGATTTCTCTATAACTAGACGCCTTTGAGACTATTAATTTTTACGTTTTAATTGAATTTCTATTCAAAATAAGCAAATGTCAGCTCTTCTCGGTAGAAATTGGAGAGGCTGATTAGTTTTCAGTCTCTGCCCTTCCCTTTAGCGACAGTAAAAATGACACTGAATTTGTAAAAGCCCTGCGATACGGGCTTAAGTATTGGTAGTGGTCGTCATAACACGACAAAGGCCATGATAAGGGCGATAAACAAAAAAGCAAGCTGTAACGCACGTTGTTATTAAACATGCTCTTCTGTTAGATGCAAACAAAATGCATCATCAGGCTTAAAAAACAAGATAACACTTATAATGACATACATTTCTACAGTAATACAAATGATAGCATACTCTTAAGTGTATCACGACGTATGCGCAATGGTCCCGACCGATTTGAGATTGGTTATCTATAACGCTACAACATAGCTGACGGCATAATAGTACAATAGTTCTCAGTTAATATTTCTCCTTATATCGTTTATAAGCTGAGATCACGCAAGTGTACAGATGCATTATTTAATAGACCACCTTTACTGTGGCCAAATGCGATGTTTTTGAACACAGACAAACTTAGCACAATCTACAACACGCCGGTGCTCATCGAGGTTGCCTCAAGACGCTAACTGATGCTCTCTGACCAGCAAATCATCTCTCAAATACTGTGACTGCTTCCCAAAGCTCCAAAAAGGGAGAAATAGGACAGACAGGAAGGCTTTACCTAGTCGTACAATAACCATTCCCGGGACTGTTATCCTGTTTAGATTGATCCCATACGTCTATCGACTATTGATATTTGTTTTGAACAAACGTATCGGTATATGCACACGTTCGGATACCGAGATTTCAAGCTCCTGCGTATGACTTTACTACGTGATGCGCTCTAGAGAAAATTAAGTTAAGAAATATTCTTAAATAAAAAAATGTTACATAATTGAAATTGAACTAATGCTCCACTTTCTAGTTTTTTCATTGAAGGCCGAAAGGCGATAATTGAATCTTTCAAATGCTACTTAATAAGCAATTGATCAGTTAAGTAAATTGCATGGACATTTAAAAAGCAATGCATTACCTAATGAAGCCCATAGAGACAATGAATGAATAAGGCCGGTGTTCAAGTTACTGACTACGATAGGCTCGGTCGAACAACAAGAGTCTGTAGACTACAAACGATCCAATCACGAATTGGTCCTGTTACGTGGTAAATATCCTGGAATGACGTTTCGTTGCATTTTGCTACCCTACAACTGATAAATTGAAGACTGATTCAATAACTAACATACATACATTGTGTATAATATATGTGCGAGTCACTGCCATCCTTTCGTTTTTAGGTAGAACGTGGAGTCCAATGTTTCATCTTTTAATAATATATGTCTAACGAAAGTAAACAAATATTTGGCCTCGGAGATGGGGAAGCAATAGCGAAACGCTTGCGTCTCTCGCTCTCTCTCTCTCTCTCTCTCTCTCTCTCTCTCTCTCTCTCTCTCTCTCTCTCTCTCTCTCTCTCCCTCTCTAGGGTGCCCTTCGGTCTTATATCGAAAGAGAAAGATTTATAAGGACACCCAAAAAATTAATTAATTAAAATGAGCTAATTCTATAATACAAAAATATACGAACGTTCATATCGAGACAACTACTTAATACTGGTATAACTTCGAATCAGTAAAGCGTGTAACACTAATCGAGCAATATGTTCTAATTCGCGATATTGCTTTTCGGTTGATTTAATTATCTAATGATGATTAATTCTTATAAAAAATGAAGAAGATTGTCTCTTTTATCTATGTAACCTTGTTCATGGCTACTTTTTCAGTAAAATCTTCCAGAAGATATTGCTGTAGAAACAAGTTTCTACCAACACCCACAAGCGTCACTGACTGAGTGTAACAAACATATAATGGGACTTTTAACTAACTTCAGATTCTGATCGTGACGCGCGTACTTATACCCAGTCTCTCTCTCATAGGAAGTGGCGCCAAAATCGTGCGCTATGGATTATAAATTAAATCGTTTCCAAAAACTACTCTAAATACTGTCGGTATAATCTACGATAATATCACGCCCATGTACGATCTTACTCAGGTTCTTATAGGCGCTGATTGAAACCCCAATGGCCTTAGCAGCAAAAAAACAGCAGTCCGCTCCGCAAACATCTAGCTCTGACAAGGCAAACATTAAACTGAATATATGCACATGTTTAATTCAGGACGTACACCTTTCATCGATGATTGAAAATATTTGGGTTAAAATGCAAATACAAAGAGGTCTTATACGCAGCGACCCCAACAGTGATTCGAGAGCAACCCATTAAATTCACGTTGAAACACCATAATTGCATAATGTTAGACCGTGATAGGGAACAAAAATGGACGAATTTCTTGAGCTAGAGGTTCCATCCAAGCTGAAGTTTTTCTCACGTAGCTTATCTAGTCGTTTCTAGGTGTCTAGGTTTTTTTTTTTTAGCTGAAGCTTTTTGACCTGTTGTAGACTTTTTTCTTGTTTCGATATAACATTTTTTAACGTAATTGCTCCAACCAAAAATATCGGGGAACTCTACGACGTTCGTACATGAGCAGTATTTCGATAACGCTTCGGTGCTATATTTTTGGGCGATAGAACATCTACGAATACATATTATATGTCGCCATAGATGCACAACTAGCGACTATCTGGAGCAATTTGCAATTCGAAGGGAGTAACATTTGATCAATGGCCTATTCAATTGAGCAAAACAGAATGAAGCCTCAGCCTAATGCTGCCTGATAGCTGGAAATCGTTTAGAACTAATTTTCATTTCAGACGCTTCGTATAAGTCAAACCCATGGCCCAGTTAACGCAGTGGCTAAAAGCCACGCGAATCATGGCCGCCAACAGGACGTCCTTGATTCACAGAAGCTATGGCCTTATAGAAACTATGCACAAGCTAGCTCTTTAATAGATCTCATCTTCAATATGTTCTTTAATTCTGTAGAACGCGTTTGTGATATATTTATGATTACAAAACTGAATACATTAAAGCTACTTCGTTCAGTTGTGGTGATCATGCAGCCTGCCGCATTTACGTCGCCTTCACGTGTTCAAACATACTTCACATCGAAGTAATAATAGGAAGAACTTTTTAACAAGTTATTATACTTTATTTATTCACTCATTATCTCTTTTTAGACTAAGCCAACAATGTAGCTTGGGCTGAAACGAAGCACACTTTTTGCCGTATCGACATTGTCAGGGCATGTTTAGAATCTGCTGTTAGTGATGTCTGGCAGACAATTTCTGCCATAACATTGCCTGTTAAAGGTGGCACATCCAGTCAAACCTTTGTGCTGTCAGGCTCAGTCATCCAGCCGAACCTTGTAGACCAGTTGGGACTCAAAGCACCTTAGACCGACATAGTTGTTTCGTGGTGCGTGTGTTCTACAAAACTCTACAAAAAAATTATACAAAAGAACATCGGATGCGTTAAATGCTACGCGCAGCTAATAGGACCGGCCTACATGGCACTGTGTTTTTTTTACTGTGCAAAGGCCAAGAAAAGGGAAGAGAAGGACCGGTTACCTTTTTTTCCTTTGGTTTCTGAAAGGGCTCGTACGGTTCGGTGCGGCCGCTTGGTTCTTTCCTTCTTTACCCTGTCTCGGTGTTCAAAAATATATCTAAATGTATGTATATGTATGTCCGGTTGAGGTGTTCCATACCCAAGATTGCGCATCGGCCGCGTTGGCCTGTCATTTTGACGCTACGTGCTTCATCACGCGTTCCTCTCCAGTCAACAAATGAATCTGAATTGATTCGTTCACTTCCTCACTGGCACGTGAAGCTTGACGCTTCAAAAATACGTGAATGTTGAGAGGACTACCGAACTAAAACCATTGATACCAGCAGGGGAAAAGGCAATAAATTCTAAATGTTTCTTTTTCATTTTTGTCGAACTCGGCTGTCCTCAACAAACATTGGCCAAACGGACGATCGACAGATCTTCTTTCCGTCCTCGGAGTAGTTGTTGTTGTTGCTGCTGCTGTCACTGAGGCTAAGCGAATGCGGGAATGAGGTTGTTACATCAACAGCAAACGAGTTGATACTTCCAGTAATCTTTTGCGCTTGACAGTTGTGACGGATCAATAATTGGTTTATGAAAAGCATGTCGCCATATTTCGGCTAGCTTAAATTAATTTTACATTGCTATTGAAACTATAGAGATAAATATAGTGGGCAGCGATTTGCAGACTGCATGGTAAAATTTTGGAGGTATAAAATCATGACGAGAGCCCACTATAATAGCACGTTTGCGAAGCGTTTTATTCAGTGAGACTAAGCGGTCCTAGTGCTAGCATTGACCTACCCACCATACGACTTGAAAAGATCCTCTAAATAATACTAATAATAATATTGCTAGATTTGCCAGGGTGTCTCAAGAAGGGATCTGAATTGAAGTTTCACGTAAGATCGAGAATTCATCGCCATTGGATCTACTCATTGACAGTGATATGAAATCACTTGAGCATCAGCTTGCTATGGTGGCCATTGATATCAGCGTATAGCTGGAGGTTCGCTTTTGTCAGTCTGGCGTCAAAGCGATCCTATTTTACATCTAGGGAAAAAGTGCTCCAGGGAAAAGCATAACGTCGGCACATAATCGGGTCCCAAACCCCTACTTACAATGACAACAAATACCAACCCATCGACCTATCCTAGAAAATTATTTCTTGCTAGGAAATACTAGGTCAACGTCATGAATTCGAAGTCGAGGGATTGCTCATCACAGAACCTAACCAACCTGGACTAATCTGCCATAGCATGGTAGCGAAAGCGTCTGGACAACTTGCGTCGACGGTTAGCACCGAGCCGATCGCCGACTAGCCACAATTTGAGGCGAGCTCGATACGAAGGGAAGCGCTCAAATCACCCTCTCTCAACGCTGATTTATCTAGCCACCCATAATATTCCGTTATCTTGCACAGATTGTTTGCAAGCGTTTATAGATTAACACATTTATGTACAGCGAATAGCTTCGAATCGTTTACTAAACGGCACGAATGTTTTCTTTGAAGAATATCTAAATTGTCCTGTCATTTGACAAAATGGCTAACACTCCTTGGCGTGCGGCAGACAGCCGTTGCTTTGACCTAATAATAACACGAGAATATTTATCGTGTATGCGCTAAGAAATATGTGTGTATGAAAAATTCAAAAACTCCTGCTCAACGTAACCCGAACGCATGTCGCTGTTGACCATGTTCGGTAGGAAGGATCGCAGCGTATGTTAATTTTCTGTTCATTGCCGTTGGAGATGAGTACTTCACAGCCACTAACCATACGCTATATCATCTTAGATCCATTACAGAACGTAGGAAAAAAATTGTGTACGATTTAAGTACTAGTCAATATGAGCGATTCATTTTCGCATATTTGGGGACGGACGATATTATTTGTGTCCCATTTGATTAGAGCTGATGTATTTCAATTTTGTCATATGCCCCGAGAGAGCTACGAATTATAGATTCTGTACTTTTTACAAATGCCAGAAACACGTATGTCCATGTTGCGTTTGTTTGTGCTAATTGTACCTATCTACTAATGGTGCTAGATAAAAGTCTAAGCTGCAACGATAAAAATTATTACCACTACAAGATATAGTCCTGAACCTAGCTTCGGGACAATTTATCTCCACGTGTGTTTACGTCTCGACGAGATGGCTTTTGTAGTATTACGCAAGTCCGTTAAAATTACGAGCAAGAATTTAGCGCATTTTTTTGGGCGATGAGTGCCGGAGTGGTTGTTAGTTACTCGAAAAGATACCGGTTACGTCCAGGTAATTTTCAACCTAATGCTCCTTTTTGTAAACGTAAATCTTTGTGAAAACGTTATCTTATAGCTAAATGAATTGCTGACCGACGAAACATTTAAGGTATCCCTAGGAATAGCTTTAGATTATTAGATAGGCCTAACAAGATCATCGTTTTAGCATAAACTCACACAGCAGGTACTACATCTAATAGTAACTGCCACTTCACATCTGCGGCAAGAAGCTGTCGACACCCGTAAAGCTGCTTGTAGTTATCGCTTCATAATGTCTTTCCGTGTCAAACCCCCAAAACATATTTCTACAAGTAGACAAAAAATTTGCCAAGCTTTTCCTATGAATCTTCCGTTGCTGCAGGCTGGTACGTGCCTTCTGCAACTTATACGTTGATAATTTTACAATGAGACACATTATAATCAGTGTCTTCCACGCACTCGCGCTATGCTCATTGCCTCGGATTCACATTATATATAATGGCTTTTCTATGCTAGGTAGCAGTTAGACTTTATATAAAAGCGGATCATCTCTAAATGCTCACTTCCGCCTTCGCATTACACAGGTGCAATGCAAACAAACCTTATGGCCACCTGATGGAAGATTTTGGGCTCACTTTAAGATGAGCAAAAATACTCATAACAGAATGCCTCACATATATGCTTTGTCTATGGCCACAATTTCAGTTTGATGTGAGTCTTCCATATGGCGGATACCTAAACACGTTTCAAATAACAAGGCGCCCGAACAAAGCTCCATTAGGCAGAGTTGTCCGGCCCGGAAAAACATAATATTGATAGGAGTGACGACAGCAAATAATAACGTCGACATACACGAGGGTCGAGACATTTAAAATGAAAATAATAATTCCATTAACGACAATAACGATACCGAACCATTTTCTTTAGTTACATATTTGACAGAAAGGCGTTGAATGATAGATTGGTAGATGATCAGCTATTCGTCCCCTTTCCGAGCATGAGTCTCGAAATTTGAATTCTGCGGACAGTGTATAGAGGACTTCTGTTTTCGTAGCTATACAAGTTCATCTGAATATCGCTAGCCAGACACGAAGCGGGCTTCTGTTTGTGCCTGCTTAGCGAATTTTTTGCGAAACAACTCAATTTGACATTATCGGGACATACTCAGATTTTCAGGCTAATATAAATTGTATTTGAGTGGCGACCCACCCCAAGCATTTAGCTGCAGTAAAATTGTTTTAGAGAGTACATGTTTATGTGCCTATGTGCGTTTCTGGGCGTGTGCGGTGAACCTCATGGCATCGCGGCCCCGACCTGTCATCAACTGTGATTAATTGGCGTCAACTGAGTGTTTCTTTCATTTTAATTAGAATTCACCTTTGCCCTTGTGGCACTTATTGCCTTGGTTGCCATCGAGGCCCAGCTCTAGTACAGTGGCATCCTTAGCTGAGGAGGAGACACCTGGTGTGGAATCACTCACCTCTACTCTGGATGGGGTGACTACAATGTTCTCGAATACGTCTACCGCAAGTGGCACAGCTACGTATCTTTCAATCTAAAAAAACTTGATCGATGCCCCGAATTGACGTAGAAAAAAGCGTTGGAGCGTTCGCGCGTGTACAGAGATAGTGTCATTCTGACGTATAGATGTCTTCCCGTGACGCTTGAGCTTGGCCGAAACCAATTTTTGTCCAATAAAAATAAAGCTCTACGCGTTTACGTTAGAACTGAGAATACGATGGTAATGAGGCATCGAATTAGGCGAAATTGACGTTTAGCTTACGCGACATGTGAAGGCGCAGCCTTTTGAAGTTTGGATACTAAATATCGAATCAGCTGTTATTCGTCTGCCCCCACATAGATCTTCACGTTCCAGAAAGTCGAAAATGCAATTTCAGAAAAATCCTTAAAGCTATATGGTTTCTTCTGCGGACATATCAAGGCGAAGGAAAACATGACAATGATTGAAAGCTAAAAATAGTGCTTGTAGAAAACGCATCGCATTCAATAGGGAATAATCGTTTATAACAGTGTCGTTGAGAGCCGTACCGCTGTGAGCTTCTAGTTTGGCCAAAAAGATCGAACCACAACTGAACGATGTTCAACGCGCTGATAAGCAAGGCACCTTCTTCTTTGAAGTAAAGAAAAAACATGATTTGCACTTTTCAACATTGAAATGTCTGGGAGATCTCTGGAACAGCCAGGTAACAAAGCCATTTGTAGGGGCCTGCAGGGCATATGATGGGTTACTAATGTCTATACAACTGTTAGTATAAGAACGCTCTTGAACAATGCTGAGATTGCAACGACGTGCAGGGACATTTCAAGCCAACCGTCCCGAGGCCATCGGACTGGTTTGTTTTTAGTATGACCTCAGTGGTCGCTGCTGCGGGCTGAAAGGTTTGTACTTATTTATGGACGCTGGTTTGAACTGAGGTATGACACTACGGTGGACACTGATAATGCCATCCAGCTCCAACTTGAGGCATTACTAAAAATATACAACGTAAATGGCCAGTAGTTGCTAGCTCACGAAACAGATCATCAAAATTTGATGGCGCTGGGCGTTTATGATTTTTTTTGCTTAAAGATGAATAGCGGATGACACTATCGCTACAAGTCTAATGCCTCAATTCCCTTCCCTTTAGTTAATTACCTCAAGTTTATTAGATCTATATCTGGGAAATTCACTATTCAAAATTCCGTGTTTTACAATCAGCCGGCATCGAAACGATTTTTTTTATTTTTCTGCAGTTAATGAGCTGTTTGCATATCGTTTCTAGTTGTCTACGGCACTTCCGGCAGTTTCTATCGTCTCTGCCGAGATGAATGCTAATGAAAATTTCAGCACGCTTCGTGCCACTGCTGAAACATCCTGATCCTTTTACGTGGTTGATTTCGTCCAAGTACTGAGACGTTGTCAATGACGATTTACTTTCAGCTACACCGGAGGAGTTTCGGGAAATGTGAGCAAGATCAAAGAATGAAACCCCGGAAAGGGAATGCTACATATTATAAAATACTATTTGCTAGCGTGCGTCCAAGGCGTAATTTCCGTGAAATATTGTTGACGCGATCTTCGCACGTATATATATAATCGACGAAACGAACACTATACGACACAAGTCGAGAGCTAGCAGCACCAGCATAACACACCCATTAGCCACCATGTTCAAGGTGTTTTCTGTGAGTACGAAATCTTTTTCAGTTCAGACATCGTGTATGACTGCGTTTATGGGTTTAGCAACGTTTAGGGTACCCTCAGACTGGCCAATGGCTTCTTGATGATGACTGTTGATTTTAGGGTGGCCAATGATAAAATCACAGATGTTGCTTTCATGTTTCTTACACACAGTGCGTACAGCAAACAGATTTAAAGGGTCTCACTTGAAAACAGAAATGTATTAGCTTCAATTCCACAAGAGTTAATTTTTTGCGTTTGCTACATATCTGTATTCGTTACAGCTTTTTGCGTTCGCCCTCGTGGCGTGCGTCGTCGTGCTTGCTATAGTGACGCCATCGCTTGGTCAGGTCTATTACGCCAGCTATCCGTACGCCTACACCTACGGTTACCCCTATGCAGCTTATGGAGCATACGCTTATGCCCCATACGGCGCATATGGATACTATGCTGGTTACCCATACCTGCTTAAAAAGTAAACATCAAATTGGTAGTTTGCCTCTTTGCACAATGATGCTTACGAACCGGAAAATGACTTTATAAATAAACTTGTTATTAATTTTAACATGTTTTTTTTTCTTCATAGAGAACGTACTGAGCGTTAGAAGGGGTTTTCAAAATCATTTATCTTTAATTGACGATTGTGTACAAGCATATAAGCTTAGTACAAAACATTTAGAACAATTAATGAATTTCCTATATAAGCGTCAGTTAGAAAAAACTTAATACTTATTTCCAGCATATCCAAGCCGTGTTTATTCATAATTCATTGCTCTCTTCAGGTCTTCAAGTCTTCAAGTCAAAGGGTTTGTCTTCTGGAAGAGAGGGTCTAGAGCCTGCAGTGTTGGAACAACCATTATCTCAATACCTTGACAATTACCATATATATAATTACTAAATGTATTGCACCTGGTGCGGTACGACTTGGTGTTTAAAGTACATCCTTATTTTTATAAGTATATAATAATAATTTTATAGGTATAGCGGTATTGCGTTTTTCGTAAATGCACAACATAACTCCCAGCGCCAACAGCGTCGTTCATAGCAGCCACTGGTTACGCACAACGCGAATTTGGCAAGCTCCAATAGCAGCAGGAAATCTATTCTAGCTACCTTTCGTTATCTCGCAAAGTAAGCGTGTGAGTAAACATACGTCGGGTAAAAATAGGCGTATCCTAGTGACGGGTACAAATAGGCGAGTCCTCTGTTCGAACCCGTGTAAGGATAGCCGAAAACGTAGAAATACGGGATGGCATTCGGGTACGCATGTGGATACGCTGAATAGAAGATTTGGCCAGATATCGGCCTTGCCGTCATGGCAAGCACAGCGAACATACACAGCTGCAACAAGCAAACAAATTTAGTTGATTTTCAAGCTAAGATGCAATGAGACATTGTGAAGATCCAGAAGATCGAAGTTCTAGTGTGACTGTTTGAATTCTGAAAGTTGAATAACTGCCCCGGATCGCACAAACCAATCAGCTTTATGTCGGTTTCGTTCGTTGTAGAAGGCATGAGCCAAGCTCCGAGCAGACGAATTCGTTTTCTCAACGCGTCTGTCAAAAATGTAGTTGTAAACACCATGCACAGTTATAGAATTTGAGTGTTCCTTCTCTATTTGATGCAACGTAGTGGCCTTAAAACCGCCCCTTAGCTATGCACCTAACCAAGTAGCCTATAGCCATAATTGCAACGGCACCTTAAATCACAAAGGTTAAATATATTGTATTTAACAAGTTTCGCCTAGAGGAAAAAAATGGACATTTTTATTACCGTACAAAGAAAAATCGTTATTAAGTTACTCACCGAAAGTTTGAACATTTTTATTTAATATCTAAAAGCTAATCGCATTTCAAGCTCAAGTATTGTGTATCCGTTGAAGTATGCACCGTTGTCTACTTCAGCAAAGCCTTCTCGATAACGGATGCTTTTTTTCCTATATGTTTAGTCGTGAAGGGCTTATTTGCGTGTATCACAACACCGTTGGACAAACGCCATTATACCACCCGTACGGCTCAGATTCTCTTGCCATCTTGTGTCAGTCGTAGAAAACATCCTTACTCGTTATAGCACGTCTTTCTTCCTATTAGTCGATATATGTGTGTCTACGAATAAAACGACAAGATAGTCCTATCGTTACCGAAAACATAATCCTCTTGCAATAAGGGAAGACTTCCGGGACAAAGGTTACTGTTGAAGAGAGTATTCGACAGGGTTTCACGGTGAAAGCCAGCTTGGTCCGTACGACAATATTGCTGCGCTGCGCCTAAATGAAAAATCTATACAAGAAGATGGGAAAGAGGCAATTGCTTAATCAACTCCGTTTCCAAGGGAGCCACAAGGCCAAATTTCGTGATGGCCACGCATATACAGTGGTTTAGAATACGCCGAATCGGCACATATTAAGACTCGGTGCTAATTCGTAATGCTATATTAAAAACAAAACAGTTATTAATTAAACCTAGAATTAAACAGTACAGATCTAATCAAGGTACAGTTCATCATGGTAAAACGATTGCATGCCGGCTATCGCCTGAAGAGTTCCAACTTCAAAAGCCACCTATCACTTAAGCCTATCCCTCGAGCTGTGCAGAAAAATAATGTTAATAACCTTAATAATTTTTATTCTAAAAAAAAACACGTATTCAAGTACATTGTCAGACTGCATAGCACAGGGACAGAAGACAACATCTGTAATTCGTAAACGGTTGAATTAATCTTTCGTATTTTTACAAACATTTCCGGAACGTTTTTTTCCAGAAAAACCACCTACGGAAGAATGACGTTCTGCCTTTACATCTCAGTGACTCGATCTCATGATTTGAGCTAATCTGGAAAATAGACACATTTGTTCATATTTAGTTATTTTGAAGCGTCGAATACGGCACCGATGTTGTGCCTTCCATAGCAGACGTCCTCGCATCGATACAACGAACATCTACTTTCCATTTCTTGAACAAGTAGGAATAATTGACATAATAGCCGCATGGTCCATACAGGGTACATGGTCTAAACAGATTGAAACCGCAGCTTCCAACAACGCGTACGGACAGCCGAATCCAAAGCTATAGAAGGAACCGCCGTGATAAAACTGACCGGAAAAAAGCATTAGTGGGACCGCAGACTCTTGAACACATAAAAGAACCTCTGTAACGTTAATGCTCGTATATAATGCATCCGCTTCATAGCGTGGAATCGTTTTCAGTCCTCTTGATAAAACCCTACGCAACTAGCGAATCGACTTGAAAATAAAGCCCAGTCTCATTAAACTTAGGTTATATAAAAATAAATTAATTAATAATTATAATAAAGCGATACCGCAGGGGCGTATGAAATATACAAATTTTATTAAAGCACATTGTACGCCTTCCTCTATAATAGGAGAGAATTGACCAAAGGCATATCGAGGTGCTAATATACAGGATGGACCCATCACCAAACTTTGTCAATTGGGGCATTAAGTTTTACAAATTGGTCACAGTTATTCTTAACTGCTAACGGCGACTGCACTATAGTTCAATCACAGTCGTTCAGCTTTTGTTCATATTTTACTCTGTAGACGCCTTATATTATCACCAAATTATTCAGCTATCTCACGCTTGGCGAGATCACTGAAGAACGGAAAAATCATAAAGTGAAGGCTTTATAATTCTAAACCGCGACCTAAAGGAAATTTGACATATAATTATAACTTAATCCACGTTCGGGTGAAAAGAGATGAATAGTTTATGAGGAAAGATTATCTTTAACAAACGCGCTCGTGCATTTTGGTCCAACAAATTTCCAACGGCGTACTTCATTCTTCGAATGGATGTAAAAGCATAAAAGTAGATCCATTTCAAGCACGCCCAAATAAAAATATTCAGTATCCAATTTATAAGACTATATTAGCCTTATTGTTGATACACTCTCAAAGCTGTCTGGAATCGGATGCTCTAGTTCATAGTCATGTATCACCTAAGCACAACTAATCTGTTTTGTATCGGATTTTTGCTTTTCGTCATTACTTAACACCTAACAACAAAAAAAAAGTTTGCTCCTGTTTTTAGCGAAGCGAACGTATCTCTTAATATCTTTGTGTTTACATTAATGTTTCGATAATTATTTTAAATAAGAATACAGGCCGACACAGCATATTCAATGGACTCTCTAAGTGTGGCACCCATTTGTATTTGTTAGTAGGTAGCTCGAAAAACTCGTGACGCTCAAAAATCTAGCAGACAGAAATTAATAACTTGTCTAAGGTTTTTTCGGAATTAGAAAGCAGTAAAAGGATGAAACTCGTGACACTGCAGTGTACACGAAGTGTAATATACGCTTCGGATACTATTAAATAAATCGTCTCTATGATGAGTAAACTAGAAGGTCTTGATCAACGTTTTTGTGCGTCTGAAATCCGGACAAAGCGTGACAGTTTAGGTTAATCATCAACATAATACCATTGTCCATGTAACATCAACATTACTATTGTAATCCAAGGTTTCCTCTGAAGTAATACAATCGTGTGATAAGCCAGTTAGGTATATGCTATAATAGCCGAGTGGCGAAATTAGCACTGGCAAGAGGTAGCAAGCCATAATAGAGCAAAGGTTCAGAAACTTTGCTGAGAAAAGGGGTCTTTGATCAGAAAACCATTGTGGCTTCCAGAAAGACAGATCAGTCCTGACGGCAATTAATAGGGCCTTCGAACGCGTAAACCCGCTTGCTTGGAAGTAAAGAACCTTGTATGTGACAGGGTGCTAAAACTAAGCAATCCTTTTTTGAGAGTAAAAATTGTCGCCTGTGCAGCTGATCTGGTTGTCCCAGTTCGAGCCCAGACGGCAGAGGAACTCCAAAAAAAAGTCACATGGATTTAGAGATATCTTAATATGGATGAAACAACATGGGCTCTCTTCGGCTTCTGTGAAGTCAGGGGCTATATTACGTATCGATAGGGAACAATTAAAGCTTTTCACACTCTCTTTAAACGCAGAAAGTATAAAAATAACGAGATACGCGGGTATTTAACTCAATCACGTAATATAGGGGGAGTGCACTACATCAAGCAGCTATCACAGAGGCGCCATGTGCAAACATATATGGCCCTAGAAAAAGGAAGAATAAACTTTTTACGGGGGTAGCAGGCACTCCATCCAAGCCTACGAGAGTCACAGTGAATAAACTACTAAAAATTCGTGCGCCTAGGGTTATCCAAGCCTGTGGCACAGTCAGCATAAACACAGCCTTGGCAGAAATCATTATTTAGGATCTGAAAATTAAAGATACGCGCTTGCTCTGTCACGATCTGATGGATGGTATGAAGAGGCTTATGTCTTTCATCATCTGGTAGCGAGTGCATTAGAGAACGAGTGAAACTATGATAAAAGGGATCCTGAATAAAAAAAGGACAACTCGCGGAAGTATGGGGAACAACATAACAGTTTTGTTAAGTCCATAGGACGCACGGAGGGGTTATAGCCCCATGCAGGAACCTAGCTCGTTTAGAGAGATGGGGAATACTACCGAGGCGACCCCAGCCTGATAATTTATTTAGTGGCACTAGCGATTCTCTCCTGCCAGCATGTA